TACTGTCATTCCAACTATATGAAGAAAACTATTTTTTGCGTCAAATATCTGACTAAAATATTTATACATACTTTCAACAGTTTATTTGTGTGCCACAGTCTTTGACCTGACGCTAGCCTGTATTGATCTGCTAAATGACATATTCGAATAGAGCATCAACATTTACTTTTAATTAGCACAATCTCACTCAAGTTCATTAGTATATTGTACCAGAAGTCCTTGGATTGGAAGCACTTTTGCTTATTTTAGCCTCAACCACCCGTATTCGGCCATTGAAAACAGTTAAACTTTTCTACTGATCTTAATTCATGCAGATTCTGATGGAGCTTCAAATTTTGCATATAAAGTCTTTTTTCAGGCTTCTTAGCAGCTAGCCTATGTGAGAAAGGAATCGAAAACCTAGCTTGAGACCAAGAATCAGGCTATGAGTAAAAAATGCTTCACATTTCAGTTTAATATGTCTGACACTTGTAATAGTGATATTCGTAATCAGCGCGGCTGACTTAATATTTTTAGCTAATTGTAAAGAACTAATATTGAAAAAATTTCTTTCAGAATCCCGTAGTGAAGGGGTGGGGGAGGGGTCAACAACTTCAAAGTCATTTCAAGAAAAATGACTAACCCGAGGTGTACCGTTCATATCGACTTTGTTATCCTCAAATATCTATGGCTTGAATACATTTTAGGGTAAACAGTGATACTTACGTCACTCCTTCTTACTGTTTGAGAAAAATATTAGTTTATGATGGTCTGTTTTTTTAGAAGAAGATTTCAAAACCGATTGTGACTTATTAATAGCTTGCAAAATCCTGCAAAAGCAAATAGAACGTATCAATGGCAAGAAAGAAAATATTGTTATCCCCAGTATTCAAATGCGAAAGATTCGTGAAAAACAAGCAGGTATGAGGAGAGAGAAAATTAAGCTGGTAATAGTACCATCGATGATACTTGAACTGTTTCTAGGAGAAGTTACTTCAAGTGACTTAACTACTTCATCCAATGCATTGGATGTTGACATGAGTCAATCAGGTTCCACTACCAATTCTGAGCTGAAATTGAAAGAACCACCATTATTAGAATCTGAGATTAGCAAAGCATCGAACATAAACTCAACAAGCAGCGTTATCAAGCCGATGACAACGTCTCATTCATCAGCAAAGAATCTCTGCACTCTGTGTGGCAGTGAAGAGAAACGCCTAGCTTGCATCCCATGTGGCCATTTGGTCACATGTGTTTCATGCGGTCATTTAGTCCGACTATGTCCAATCTGCAAAAGAGATATTGAAGCATTCATTCGTATATACATTTGAAAAGATTGGTTGTTGTGTTATAAACGACACAAAACACTCTTATAACACATTCTAAAAGTTTTTCTACTCAACTTATTTTATCAGTTGTATAAGTTAGCTCAGAGATTGATCGGCCCCCAAAAAATGCTTTGCTACTGAATTTTTCACTTAACACCTACATGATCAAGTCAATCAGAGCATGCATCAACGTGTTTCTGACTAGAAGAGAAGTAATAATGTGATCCGAATACGGCAACCTTAAAGATTATGGCTTAGTGTCAACCTTTGGTCGCATATTTACTCCAGCTTCTAAGAATGGGAACAATATATTGTACAAGCACTATTTTGTATATAAACATGAATCGTCCAGAAGGAGACTTAAAAGTGTATGACGGTAGGCGAAGAAGAAGAGACCCATGCCGTAGCACTGTTATTCACCCACCCTAATTCTCAAATGAGAATAGTAACATTAACTTTTCTGATGACAACCACTATACAATTAAACATTATTCGAGAAATCGATAATAAGCTTTCATTCACAACAGATCGAAGTCTTTCGTTTTGTCTCGTTTATTTGTATGAGTTTGTTTCTGATTGTCAACAACAGTAAGTCAGAAAGTGCTTATCCAATCGCTTCAAACGGAATAGTTGCATGCAGAAAGTAAGAGTACATGAAAGTGGTATAGGAGCATACTCAATAGCTGCATAACTTGTACTGATCAAGAACTGTCTTGAAGAGAAAACTAGGTCTAATAAAGAGAGTCTACTGCTTATCAGAGTATTTATTATTTTTTATGGTTAGTAAAGAAATTTTTCGTTAGATCTTCTTTGTTTGACATGCAACCAATTCTCAATATGTATTTAATTTATACGTAGAGCAATAGAGTAATATTTTATAAAATACTAGATGTATCATACAATAATCAATAGTATAAGAGTGGACATTTTTCACAATAGTTTTATTTAACTTATCAAAAAGTTCCATAAGTGGAAACATGAAAGTAATCCATTCAGAGGAGAAACGACTTGTGCCTATCACACGTAATTCGATCTCTATCAAATAATCACTAATGTTCGATGCATCTTCTCTTACTTCTTGCGTATGAAAAGATTGACTTCATCCGTAAGTCTGACGGGTTTACTTTGAAATCTTGCAGAAACTCATCATATAATGCTCAAGCTCTACATATATTTAGACAAGTCTATAACATAGTCAGTTTTGCATGCAATTTCCAATCATCAATAAAAATTTAGCTAAGTAACATATGTTATCAACGTTTTCACACTACAATGGCGAAAAGACACGCATTTCACAGACCGTTTCCAAGAGAGTGTGGATATGCATTTTGGAATTCATTTCATTCATATCTATATCCACACTTTCATCTACACATTCACCGTCACTCATATACCCTCAAATACTTGGATGATTGCACAGTGGTGGCGTTCTCTCTAGAGAAGATATTTTTCGATTATTTGTATCGATACCTGGGTGAACTGACCAACGTCTTAACACTTCACCCAGAGCACTCATTTATAAGAGCATGTTTCGAGAATTCACAATCCTATCTGTCAAAAGAGAAAACACTTAGCACCAATAGTATTTAGAAAAGGCAACATGTTTTCCGATCGTTTAGTGAAAAGAGTACAAAATACGAATCTGAATTCATTTTCATTCTTTTATGAACACGAAAACCAGCCAGAACTGTTTCAAATGCTAATAGCCGAGGTCGAGAAATTTGTCTATGAATATGTATGTCCCTCTTATACGAATTGGAGGACACTGTCTGATATGTGAATCAATCATCCAATGCAATTATGTAGTTGTGAATCTGAGCGAAGAAAAATACTTCTTCCCGGAAACAAATCTAAGAAAAATATCCGTCATTGGAAACTTAACAGTTCGCTTCTCTGTACTTTCTTCCGTCTTAGGTGATCTCTTTCTATGGATTCCTATTCTTTTTTCTTTCTTACAACTATTTTTTCTTGTGTTAATACTAATATATTGAAATGCTTAGTCACAAAAGCTGTAGAGAAGATAGGTGTAGCATATTAAAAACGTAAATATACTCTATTCTGAATGCATAATCTTTTCACATCAATGCTTCTTAGCTATATTCGAAACAATAAGCTGTCTGTATGCGTAAAACTACGCATCAAATAGAACATTTTATTTGCTAAATTCATAAGAGCCATCCGATATTCTTCGACCTTGCTGGGATATTTGATCAAAAATCACAACTACTAGGGAAACATTCTTGTTAGAAAAATATTTCGCTGACTTTATTGATAGATAATGCTGTAGTGTCTTGTCAAAGTTTAGAATTGATCAATAACTGAGTGTATGTAATGTCAAAGTGGTACATTAAAAAAAATGATTGTTTGTCGAGAAACCGAAATACTAACGATCGATTTTAATGAGACATACTGACAAGATAGAGCTGCTCTTTTACATTTTCGCCTTATCTTGTCTTCCCATAGAACAAGAAAGAGTAAGGCAAAATATTTTGCTTTACTGCAAAGTTTTACAAAGTCTTGACTGAGTAATATTCTATTAATGACAGTTTCACAACACTTGAACGAATATTTTCAACACATTCACTGTTTTTCCGTTAACGTTCGTTCTCTTTTCCTTGTATTCAGTCAGTATTCGTATGAATTCTCTTTGGTGACGAAAACCGTTGTAAGTTCAATAAAAATGCGAAATAAACTTTGGATACTAAGATCATGGATGGCTTATTCACACAGAACTGAAAGGTGAAATACGATAAAATTCACTTCATAAATAGCGGAAGACCAATATATTTTGGTTACGTCTCTGAGAAAACCTTTCCGAGGTACTTGTCACGTGGTATGAGGGTTTTGAAAGAGTTTTTCATTGTAGCTGTTATCAATGATGAGAGGTAAGATCTAGTCATTTCGTTATGCACTTGAACACCGATTACAATTATGTTCTATCAAAAATATACAACAGAGTTTTCTCATCAACTTTAAATTTTTTATGATTTGAATAATCAATGTCATATTTATGCTACAGGGTGTCAAATTCTGTAGTGCAGAGGAGGGCGAAAAAAAAATGTGAAATGTCATGACGTGTGTTTTCGATGCAGTAATGCTTATTAATTTTATATACTTTTCAATCACGAGATATTTTCCTCGAAATTCAATTTCTTTGGCAATTAAATGCACAAACGTGAATTGCTGAGATTATTCATGGCCTCGGAATACATAATGTCAGCGATAGTTAACAACTCTTAATAAATACGCAGTCTTATTCGACTTAAAAAAGCTCGATTCTGTATTTAAGAACCAAAAGACACAATGTTCACATGATGCAACGACACTATAAGCTGCAAAACGAGTAGAATTAAAACATAAATGATATCATTTATCTTGATCATCTGCTCAAACCCTTCGGTGTATATTTATACAGCGAAATTTGCGAACTATGAAAATATAGCCTAACTATCGACATGCATTTCTGCATGATCTTACTTTATCTTTTTCGTTAGTATCTTGTGTATTATTTTATACAGGTTGGTTGAAAAGTTTTGAAAGCGACACCTATTAACCAGTAGAGGAATCAAAATTTATACGCTATTTTAATATTTCATCTTCCATTGGAACACACAAAAAATTCTATTTTGATTGGTCAATTCATTCTGTGTTTACAAGCCATTTGAAGTTGACGTGTCAGTGTATTTTGTTACAATGGAAAAAACCGAATATCGTGCAGTGATAAAATTCTTTGTTTTGGAAGGTTTATCAGCAACAGAAATTCATACAAAAATGGTGAAAGTGTTAAAGGAATCTGCTCCTTCATTTCCAACTGTGCATCGATGGGTTTTAGACTTTAAACGTGGTCGTACAAGCGTTGAAGATGAACCACGTAGTGGACGTCCAAAAAGTGCAACAACACCAGAAATCATTGAGCAAGTCTATGATATTGTTTGTAAAGATCCAAGTTTAACTAAGCGTGAAATTGCTGATACCATAGGCATCTCAGATGAACGAGTACTCCATATTTTACACGAAGAATTACATATGAAAAAGCTGCTCGGAAAGTTAGTGCCGCATTCGTTAACAATTCAACAAAAACTGAATCGAAAACAAATTTCTCACCGTAATTTGGAGCGTTTTAAGCAGAATAAAACCGATTTTGTGCGTCGTTTTATAACTATGGATGAGACTTGGATCTACCATCATGATCCTAAACTGAAACAAGAACGTTTACAGTGGATTGAAGCTGGTTCTTCAGCTCCAAAACAGGTGAAGTCAGAACGATCGGCAAAAAAGGTTATGGCATCAGTTTTTTGGGATGCAAAAGGGGTTTTGTTGATTGATTATCTTGAAAAAGGTAAAACAATTAACTCTGAATATTATTGCAACCTTTTGGACCAGTTGGATAAAAAAATTGGTGAAAAAAGACCCGGTTTACAGAAGAAAACAATCATTTTTCATCAAGACAATGCACGTGTTCACACAAGTTTTTTGACGATGGTTAAATTGAACGAATTAAAGTACGAATTGCTTGAACACCCACCGTATTCACCAGATTTGGCTCCCTCCGACTATTACCTCTTCAGAAACTTGAAACAATTCCTTCGTGGAAAGCGTTTTTCGTCGAATGAAGAAGCTATTGCAGCCGTGGAACAGTATTTTGCAGAGCTTCCGGAAAATCATTACAGAGATGGTATAAAATTATTGGAGGATCATTGGAATAAGTGTGTTCAAGTTGAGGGAGATTATATTGAATAAAAAAACTGATTTCATTAAAAAATACACATTCTTTCATTTTTGCTTTCAAAACTTTTCAACCAACCTGTATTTATCATTCTTATTTTTACTTTATTCTTCTATTATATTTTTGCCACTCATCGCTAATATGTCTATTTTTCTGACACGTACTTTCTCAAACCTTAAAATCTCTTAGTTCCTTCGAGAATTATTCTCATTTCACTTCTGACAGATCATGAGTATTGTTTCTACAAACAAAACCATCTTTATGACTATGAGGAGGTGACGAGAAAGTGAACCAGACGTTTCCATCTATCAACAGTCGAAGTAGCCTCTTGTTAGCAAACGATTTCAATATTAAAAAACGCTTTATATCTCTGATATGATTTGAAAAGCAATGCTCTTTCTTATATTTAGTCGTTTCCACTTTTTCTTGCGAATTATATTATATTGGACTCAATTAGGAAAACTGGGCTGGTTGTAATATATTAGAACATTTATGGATAGTGCTCTTGCAAATTTCTTATCTCATCCTTGCATGCAACATCCATTTTGATATTTTCGACGACCGCTATTATGAAACACTTGCTCGACTGAACTTTTCTGCTAATATGTATGAAAAATTTGTATCATTCGGCAATGATCAGATGAATGATAAACTATTGATAATATTATGCTTTACTTGATGGGAGCATATCCGTAAAAATATTTTGCAGAACATGAAAAATATGAGTATGCCTGAGTTCGTCCTTCCTACAGGTTGTTTATCCGCACTATTGATAGATTAAATGGAGGTGTTGTTAGCAACGTTAAATTGGATTGTAATAATTATATTTCTATGAACTCATGCAAACAATGTTCGTCGAAGACTATTTATTGATACCTTTCTAACTGATTCACCATAGTCGATCTCTTGCTTGTAATCATGTGTGTCCTCAGTAGAAGGAAGATTTTTCAATCACTTAAGAAACGCTGTTGCTGGTCGAAATTCAAAATTATTTTTCTTTTTTTCATAATCTTCAACGAAAGCTTCACTTGATCAACGTTAAGGTTGTTTTGCGTATTTATTTTTGCCCCAGACTCGTGGATTGAAAATCGTACTCAATTATGAACAATATATTTTTGAAAAACACTTTCAAGTACAATGTCTACGTTAATTTTTTGTCTGTCATTCAATATCAATCTTGGCAACCATTACTGTTAAATCTCAACTCTCAAATCCAGTATTTTGCTTAGAAGTTTCAATTGCACTTCGTTCAACTGCTTTTTCGATGTTATTCATTCTAAGAATGAGTGTGGTGAGTGTCTATGTGAAAAGTAAAAATTAAGATGTGAAAAATGAGTAAACAATGAAGTTGACCAGGTTATTTTTCACAACATCAGCTAGATGTTCTACTCCTTTGTCTCCGATTCGATTATTTTGAAGACAGTATTTCTAACTTCCTATGTGAATAAGTGAAGATGAAATTGAGAGCAATGACGAGAGAAAGAAGTTCACTGTATTCTGTCGTAGAGCATCAGCCAAATATTGGGTTTCTATCCCTCTAATGACATTCTAACTGAGTTCGTGTTTAGTGAGCGCTTTTTTCAAGAAGTGTCGATAGGAACACGAGAACTTAAGAGATAAAGAAAACTACCTTCTTTTTTCGTAGAGTATCAATCAGTTTTGTCTCCAATATTGTTGAAATCGAATTGAAGTACAGCTAGTACCTATATGAGAGATGCAGATAAAAACATAAGAGATGAAGAAGGATAGAAACTCATCATGTTATTTTGTAATAAATCAGTCAGATCTTGTACTCATTTTATGTCTAATTTTATTGTCGAAAATCTCAATTATTGTACGTGTCTGTGTGAAAGAACGAAAGAAGTTCACCATGTTATTTTGTGATGCATCAGCTACATATCAGCACTTCTTCTCTCCGATTTTATTCTTAAAAATGCCATTCAAGTCTGGCCTTAGATTTTGAACTGAAATCAGATGCTGAAACGGGAGGAATACTTTGTTTTTTCGCTCCACATGGCTCAGAAAAGGTTATTCTCGCATTGTCTTCCATCACTTCAATCTTAATTTTTTTGTTCGTCACCTCGCCACGTTTGTATAAGATATTTTTGCCATTGGATCATGTGATGCATTTGACTACATATTGCAAAAAATAGACCTAAGAACACAAGAGTGAAAAAAAAGCCAGACATCGGAGCGCTAATACAATATAGCTTCAGATCAATCAATCTTTTGCCTTTTTAATTCTCCATCGAACACAAAAATAGAATATTATTAGCGATTGTCAGGCCTAACTTAGACCTTTTTTTTGGTTGATAATTTTACTTACTGTCCAAAATTATTTTTCGGCAGCAGCTAAAGTGCAAAGTATGGAGTATATGTAACGTGCTAATTAATCTCCTTCTGGTTGAATTTTTGGCTGAAACGTACATCTCGGAGCTGTCCAAGTTCTCATATAAGTAGAATTGAGTGAAAATTGAACTTTTTTCGCATCTACAACTCTGTTGTACTGCTTTCACTCTATTGAATTTCTCCTAAAACTTTGAATCGATCATCACTAACTTCTTTGCGAATCCTCAAAGTTCTTTTTGAACTAATAATCAAGTCGTACGTTTAAAAATATCAGGCATTGCTGAAGTCTTGAATGCTTAGTAGAATGTATGGCTTTGACTGGTGTCCATATATCTTTCTCCTCACTCTTTTTTTAATTTCAAAGAGAAGCAATGCATTGGTTCATCACCTCAGTATGTTATACTATGCATGGCTCTCTATTTAACAATTGTTAGGAGAAATGACAAAAGCATGTTTTTTTGTCGTTATCGTCCAGCTACCAATAGAAGAAAAGCTTATTTTTCAAGAAATAACGAGCTACTATGAAGTTTGATCAAAGGTATTCAAAACTGAGTAATTCGATTCAATGTGTAATTTGTCAACAACATGCCACTAGAAAATTTTTAGGAATTAATTTATACAATCGGATTTCTTAACCTTGAACATCTTTGCTCCAACTTTACACACAATTATAATCTTCGCAAAATACATCACTCCTGACTTAGAATTGGTGTCACACTATTCACATGACTAGCCAGTTCTTATCTTAAGAGTAACTGATCTTCTTTAGCCGTGATTCGATGCACTACCATCATAGCGTCCGTAATTGAAGATACTTGGTGTTCAACGAGTAATTACAGAAAAATCGATATTATATTTTAAACTTTGTGTGAGTTTTATGCTCTAAAACTACGACTTTAATTGTAAGATGGTAGAATCCTCATTCCTGAAAGATCTGCTCCGAAGTAATGCGAACCTATTTAACAATGCGTTTTTACTCTTTTTCGCACATGCTGAGATGTTTACAAATACTGTTTCCTTGATTTTTTTTGGCTAATTACTATGTGTTCTCGAATTGATTAATCGTAGAAAACGGAATAAAAAATTAACACTTTATGAATAATTCCCTCGACTGTAGGGAGGGTCATATGAAAAAAACTAAAATGTGTTTGTCTGTCTGTCTGTTTGTGGCAGGTCAAAAAAACATTTTTTTTTCGAAAATTTTGTTTAACACAGAAATAGACTTTTTGAGAAAAAACAAATTTTTTCGAAAACACCTGAAATGTTTTAGAAAAAAATTTTCTTTTTGTGGCAGGTCAAAAAAACATTTTTTTTTCGAAAATTTTTTTTTAATGTAGAAACAGACTTTTTTGAGAAAACTGCACTAATATTTTCTTAATGAGGCATTTCGATAAGACTCAGATTTTTCAGCTGCCAAATGAAATTGAAGAAATCAGAAATAGTTCACAACGAAGCTTTGGTTTAGAAATCCCCGTCGAGAATTCTCATGCTATAGATCTAATGGTTTTCCGAATTAAGCCGAGTTTGGGATTAGATGAAGTGTAAATAAAAAAGGATGGTGCTGTGGAGAAATAGAACGAAACATAGCAGCGGCTAGTCGTGAGTGGTGCTCCGGAGGGGCGCCGACGAACGACTAGCCGCTGCACTAGAAAGTCCCTTAAAGAAATGCTTCAAGCTGCTGACATTTATCAAATAGACATCAAGAGTCTAGGTCATACGGGTTTGAATAAGGAGTAGCAGTTGCTAAGAACTGAGAAATATTTTGAAATAAAGTGTGAGAACGGCTTTTCTGCACGTGTGGGATATTTGAATAGTACATTTGAGGGAAAACATTATTTATAGAATTTATATTCGTTCTATCGGAATGCTATTTGAATGAAAAAACGGGGGTTTCCTTGGTGGGATGCTTTCTTCTCGATACTGATTCAAATGTCGATATGTATATGGATATATTGAAATTACCTATCTAGTCTGATGGCTAATATGAGTAGGAGCTTCTTTCAAGTGTGGCAGGTCGATTATAGACCAGACCTAATATGATTAATTGTAAGCTAGAAGTTCAAGTAAGCCCTATTTTGCTAGCGGACGCTCTAGTAAACAATATTGTCGGCAGGTGTATCAGCAAGCGAACGGACTTTTAGTAGAAATTTTAAGGAGTATGGCGCATTTTCACGAAAGTGTCGCGAATGAGCTTTGCTTCATTAACTCTCAGAAAGCTGAATATAAGCTCCTTTTTTGGGTACATATGGATATCGTCGTCATAGTGTGGTTCCTTAGATTTATTGCTGAGTGTCAATGTGAGGGTATCAATTTCATTGGATGCATTTGTGACAAATTGTTCATCCGGGCCCGCATACAATTATGCACAATGAGATTGACGTCCATGTCAGCGTACACATACCTACCCACCCTTTTGGAACATCGGATACTAGCTGTGTTGAAGACTGTAAATCTGAAGAAAAAATGGAAAGGGCCGAATATGCAGTCCAGGGTCAAGCGAGTCACACGGACGGGCGTTACTTGTAGCTCAAATCCAGATTCTATTTTCATCGGGGTCATACCCACTCATTTACGACATGACTCATGAAAAAATTCAAAAAATTTTCAAAAAAAATTAATTGCTGACGATACGATTCATTGCTCGAAGATAAGCTATTCACCATCTTGTAGAGAATTTAATTCTGCATCTTTTGGTGTACAGCTTATATGAAGATTTTCTTTTCATGGGGGTCATACCCCCTCATTTATGACATGACTCATAAAAAAAAATGGAAAAAGTTTTGAAAAGAATTTAATTTCTGAGGATACGATCCATTGTCCCGAGATCAAGTCCAGCTCATCTTATAGAAAATTGAATTCTCTATCAATATCTGTGCCACTTATGTTGAAAATTCCCTTCCATTTAGGTCAGAATTTCTAAAAAAGAAATTTGTCACCGGACAAAAACAAGAAAAAATTGAAAAAAAATTACTCTTTTGAAAAAACTATCCATTGCCTGAACATCAGCTATAGTTCATCTTATAGGGAATTCAATTCGCTATCAGCTGCTGTATTCATTGTATCCAAATTTCATTCTTCTCTTGGTGAAAAATCCTTAAGAATAAGTTGCGCCACCCAAAAAAAGGCAAAAATATTTGAAAAAAGCATTTTTCTGATAAAACTATCCATTGCCCGAAAGTGAACTATAGCTCATTTTGTACAGAATTTCATCCTCTATCAAGATCTGTTTTTTTTCTATTCAAAATTCATTTTGATGTTAGCCAAAAATTCTCAAAGATAAGATCCGTCACCCCAAAAACAACAAAAATTTTAAAAACACAATTTTGTTTAAAAAAAACTATCCATTGTCCGATGATCAGGCGTAGCTTATCTTGTACAGAATTCAATTATCTATCAAGACCTCTATCACTCATCTTGAAAATTCGTTTTCCTCTTCGTCAAAAACTCGAAAAGATGAGATGAGTCATCGCAAAAAACAACGAAAAATTTAATAAAATACTTTTTTTAAAAAGAAACCATCCATTGCCCGAACATCAGATATAACTCATCTTGTAGAGAATTGAATTCTCTATCAATATGTGTGTCGCTAATAGAGAGAATCGATTTCCATCTTGATGAAAAAATCCATAAAATAAGATCCGTCACCCCAAAAATGGAAAACAATTTCAAAAAAAATAATTTTTGGAAAAAGAC